GCTCCCCGCTTATGCAAATGAAGCTCGGGAAATTCAAATCCCGGGCTTCATTTGCAAGTGCGGTATGCCTACATTACCCTCCTAGTTCGAACTAGGAGGGTAGTGTAGACATACCCCTGGAGATTAGAGCTGGGACCAGCACAATCCCATTGGCTGGTTTTTGGCCAGAAACTGGCCAATGGGAACTGCCTAATGCATGGGGTTAAAGAATAGCTGCATCTAAGGTCAAAGGTAGACTGGAAATAGCAAGAAGATACGGGTGTAATCAAAGGGATCTAAAAGTAATCCCAGAAAGCTCCAAAACATCCACAATAGTCATGGACACTGGCATTTCACCACTGACTAATCATTTCTCTTCAATGGACTGAAGAGAAACTGACTCAATCTAATGACTATAACAAAAGGCTTATACTGAGAAGATTAGAGAGAAGGAATAAATACACTGAAACACCGAGGCCATGTCTTCACTTTCTGGAAGATTGAAACTGTGGCAGTCAATCTTCTGGAGTTTGATTTAGCGTGACTAGTAAAGAGCCACTAAATCAAATACTGAGGGCACCTGTTTTGACACTGAAACTCTTACTCCTCATGAGGAGTAAGGGAAGTCAACAGGAGCATTTCTCCCCTAGACCTCTTTCTGTGGAGATGGTGCCAAAGGTTGAATTAAGGTATGTCTACTCCAGCTATACAAGTAACATAGCTGGAGTTGCATATCTTAATTTGAACTTCCAGGTAAATATAGACCAGGTCTCAGAGATTTGCTAACCTGTCTGGAGAAGGGGTATGTGAGGAACCTAAAGACTCATTGCAGAGTGATGTTCTGATAACCTTTCCTCTCTAAGTATCTGATACTTTGACTTTATGGAAAAGTACTAGATGGGTGGATAATTTAATGAAGGTGTAATTAGATAGTTGTTAGCTGCTTATATATGGGTGTAAGAGCTAATGGGGTTTTTTTTTTAGGAGGGAAGATGTGTAGAATTATGTTTGTAGAAGATTGCGATTTAGAGAGCCTCCCTCATAAATATTATGAATATAGACATTTTGATCTGAGTTTGGAAGCAAGATGCAGAGAAGCAGCCAGCAAATCACCACAGATGACCTCTAGTTTGATTTCAATAGGCTTTAATCCTTTCTCACTCACTGGGCTGTTGTTTAATGAACCCCAAGATAATTACTGTGGTGCAAGTTGGGGAGCTAGGTCCCCAGGGTTCTTTCCCGACACATTCACACTCCATGTGGGGGAGCTGGCAGGGTCCCCAAAGCAGCAGGGCTGGCAATAAGCCTTCTGATTGTCTGCATGGGCAGTTCAGCAGACTCAGGCAGGTGATGCTGGAACCATTTAACTCAACACCTGAATCTGTGCTTTTATCCCCAAACATGAAATTGGGAAACTTCTGTTTAAAACAGAATAGTCTGCTGGGCCCTCTGCACAACCTTGCAGCCCCTAGGCCTTAACCCAGCCTCGAACACCTTCTAAAGTGTCTCAGCCTTAGCCCTACCCTGATATGGTCCTACAATGTCTCGGCCTTAGCCCTGCCCTCCAGCAATTCTTTCCCCTTCAATGGGCTCAGAAAGGAGGTCTCTTTGGGGGAGAGTGCCCATTGTTGCATTCCCAGCACTCTCAGAGGACTTAGCATAATGCAACTTTATTGCTTGAATCCAGAAGGATAACACTCAAGGAACAGAGAGGGTGTAAATAACCCCACTTTGCTCTTGGTTGCTCTCTGTAGATCTGCCTGCTGCAGTGCAGACCCATATCACAGAGCTCCTTACACAGCCCCCTGCCTGCCAGCAGGATCAGGAAGACCCTTATTTATACTGACAGCTTCCAATTCCAATCCAGGTTTCAATGCACCACACACACAGTGGACATGTTTGGAGGTTGCTCGAAGTGAAACAGAAATTGTTTCACAGATGTTAAGGCCAGAAGAGTCCACTGAGTCTATCCAGTCTGACCCTGTGTACGCAGGCTGGAGAACTGCCAAAAGCTACAAGCAGAGCTGAGACAATTGCTCATGACCTGCTCACTATGCATCTTACTGTAACATCTACTGATATGGTGGTCTCCATTGACATCAGGATTTGGGGAGCAGATATCTGGCAGCAACCCCTGGAATCTGTGACAGCCCCTGCCAGCCCATCCCTGTCACTTGGCAGAGTCACTTACTGAAGTAAGTGACTTTTGGCCAAGCTGACTCTTTAGACATGTGCCCAGGTGTCACCTACTCACCAGGATGTGAGATGGGTCCCCTCTGGGCCTGACCCTCACAGCACGTGAGCTGTCCCAGCTCCAGCTGCACAGCCTGACTCTTTAGCGTACTCTGTAGCACCTCATGCAGTTAGCTGTGGAGATCCCTGGGTCACATGTCTGCTGTGTAGTCCATGGTGGAGGCAGGCACAGAGCCAGGCCTTTTCTGCAGGGGGGCATCCATGTGGGTTCCACTGGGGTTCCCTCAGAAGCAGCCCTGCTCTGCTGCAGGCTCACCTGCACCAATTGATGGTCAGGGAACTGACAAGGGGAGGAAATGGGGGTGGATACATGGCATAGATCAGTGGTATAAATTCCTGGCACCAGCCCTGGGCAGGGGGCAGTGTAGCCTGGTAGTGGTGAAATCTTCTGTTCTGGGGAGATGCTCTGCCTGGGAACCAAGGGGGGTGGAGTCAGATGATGGATGGGGCATGTTCCCTGCACTGCCGGCCCCTCACACAAGCTGGGGGGTGTTAACCATCCCTGCTTTCTCCTGACAGGTCCCTGCCCAGGATGTTCCCATGGCGACGCGATGGCGGCTCTGTTTGTGCAGCCTGGGGATCCTCCTCCTGGCATCATGTACTCTCTCTGGTAAAATTGTTTTAACCCAGATATTCCTCCCTGTTCCTCTGCCCCTTCTGAGCTGGATATGAGCATCTGAGCCCCCCTAACATGTCCTCAGTCCTACAGAGTAAAAGGCCCAAGCCCAGGATGCTGTCAGGAAGGGATGACCTTAGCAGGTTTGTCAGGTCTTGTAGCAGGATAATGGGAGCTGCACCATCGCCAGCCCCAAGCCTTCAAACACCATGACACAGACCACAGAAATCAGGAGACTGGAGACAAAATCATCAGATTTAGGAAACAAAACAAGATAATCATTTTCAGTCTTGTTTCCTTTATTTTTTGAGCCTTTGGGTCCCACTCTGGCCACATTTTCAAACTTTTCCCTGCAGCTACCAGAGCTAGAAACTGATGGTTTTAAAATCTGAGATTCTCACAGAAGCACATGCCTCTAGGACAGAGGTGGGCAATAATTTTTTGCCGGCTGCACCAGAAGAGGTGGGGCCTCAAACAGAAGGGGTGGGCTCAGGATGCTTCCGGGCTTCCCCACCCACAGATCATGATTGGTCTTGGAGTAGGAGCATCCTTTTTCCCCCTGCCTTTCCCACTAAGCACCCATGACCTTGGCAGTGGGAGGAAATTTCCTGTGCTCCCCCACCCCCAGCCCAATCAGGGTCTGGGGGTGGGGGAGCACATGAAGCTTCCTCCCACCCTGCCAGGAGCATGTGGCACTTCTAAGTGCCACTTTCTCCTCACAAGGCAGGGGGTAGAGCAGAGGAAATTTTGTGCACTCCTCCTGCCCCCAGGCCAATCAGGATTTGGGGGGGGAGGATCATGTAACGCTTCCTCCTGTCCTGGCAGGAGTGTGTGGCACTTCTTAGAGCCCTATTTGGCCTGGGGGCAGGAGGAGCACCCAAAGTTTCCTCTGCCCTACCCCCGCCCTGTGAGGAGTGCGCAGCACTTAGAAGTGCTATGTGCTCCTTGCACGGCAGAGGAGATTTTGTGCGCTTCCCCCTCCCCAGGCCCTAATTGGCCTTAGGGTTGCCAGGTGTCTGGTTTTGAACCGGACAGTCCAGTATTTGAGCTTTCTGTTTGGGAAACAAATTGAGAAAATACAAATGAGGAAATAGAATTATCCGGTATTTTCTAAATAAGTTGTAATGTAGATTGTGATGTAATGTCAAGTGTGTCCGGTATTTTTGTTGAAACCATCTGGCAAACCTAATTGGCCTGGGAGCGGGGGGAGTGGCAGGGCCTCCGTGGGCTGGATCAACTCCTTTGGTGGGCCGATCTGGCCCGCAGAGGCCCTTTTGCCCAGCCCTGCTTTAAGAGCTGGGGCTTCATGAAAAACATGTAGTCTTCCAAGAGATGGCAATGCTCAGAGGCTTTGAAAATCTCCTTCTTTCTCTCTCCCCACCTACAACCACACAGTGAGCATCAAGGGCTGCAGCTGCACAGTAATTGCTCTACACATCCCATGGTGAGCCTGATGAACCTTATGACACGGCTATTGCACAGACCTTAAGTTCAGATATTTAATTTCCTGAAGCTCCCGATCCCAGGACAGTGAATCCTATCTGAGGCACTTTCTATTTTGGGTATTGAGGCTATGGAAAAGTCATGAATGGTCCCAAAGGTCCATCAAAAGATATAATGCCCTTCAGGCCAGGCAGAAGCCATCTGACATGACCTCTCAGCAGCAACAGCAGGGTTACGTGGATCTGAAAACGGATAATCAAAGAAGTTTCTTGCAGTGGAAGGAGCTTGTAACTTGGTGTCTTGAGGCTATAAACTGGTAGGTGGCTTCCACTGGGGCTACCCTTTGCCTATAGAGCATATGTAGTTGCAAGACAGGTGCCTTTGGAGAACTTTCCAAGGGATTGTAGGACAGCATTGGAAGACCAGCTTGTGTAGATGTGGGTGTCTGCAATGCAAAAAATGAGGAATAACATTAGTTCGAACCAAGGGGTACACACTTTCACTTTCGGAACAGCTGTTGAGTGGAGTAACGCACCAACGAGATTGAAGGATAAAATTAATTTGTTGTCCGTATGACTTCTGCGTGACCTGGATGTTAAGCCTGGTCTTTGTAAAGAGATACTTGATTGGTCACAGGTACACAACCAGAAGGGGATAGGTGAAACTGGTGAAAACCTGTTTTACTGGTATGAACCTTTTGTAAGGCCTAAGAAGGGAATGTGAGGGGGCAGGTAATGATTGGAGGGGATTTGATGGAGAGGGCATGACCTATGTATGCATGCAATTGTAAGTGGTCAGTGGGAAAGGGGTGATTACCATGTAAGATAGTACAAAAGACATTGCCTTTTGTTTGGGAAGTTGCAAAACTTTCCTGAGAGTATCCTGGAGATTTTTGCCCTGGAATGCATTCCTGAATAAAGCTGGTTGCTTAAGAAGGGTGTCTGGAATTGATTGGGACGGGGTGTGGACCCCCATCTGAACCCTTGGATTAAAATTCTCTGTTAAGATCATGCTAATGATGTGCGGGATATTCAAATCGCCGCTTCATTAGCAATTTCGGTCGCCTACATTTGCATCCCTAGTTCGAACTAGGGTGCAAGTGTAGACGTACCCTGCACTCTGAGGGTATGTCTACACTACCCCGCTAGTTCGAACTAGCGGGGTAATGTATGCATATCGAACTTGCTAATGAAGCCCGGGATTTGAATTTCCCGGGCTTCATTAGCAAGTTCGATATGCATACATTACCCCGCTAGTTCGAACTAGCGGGGTAATGTATGCATATCGAACTTGCTAATGAAGCCCGGGATTTGAATTTCCCGGGCTTCATTAGCAAGTTCGATATGCATACATTACCCCGCTAGTTCGAACTAGCGGGGTAATGTATGCATATCGAACTTGCTAATGAAGCCCGGGATTTGAATTTCCCGGGCTTCATTAGCAAGTTCGATATGCATACATTACCCCGCTAGTTCGAACTAGCGGGGTAATGTATGCATATCGAACTTGCTAATGAAGCCCGGGATTTGAATTTCCCGGGCTTCATTAGCAAGTTCGATATGCATACATTACCCCGCTAGTTCGAACTAGCGGGGTAATGTATGCATATCGAACTTGCTAATGAAGCCCGGGATTTGAATTTCCCGGGCTTCATTAGCAAGTTCGATATGCATACATTACCCCGCTAGTTCGAACTAGCGGGGTAGTGTAGACATACCCTGAGTTACTAAATTGATCTGCACATGGCTCAGCCTTGGGAACCTTTTGCTGTGAGCGGATGGAATTTTGATTAACTCAGCGATGCCCTCTCCTCTCACTCACTTTGTGTATGGCTGGGCCCCAGCTGAGTGATGCCCTGTTCTCTTCCCTCTAACTCTGCTCCTTTGATTTTCTGTTCCAGAGAAATTCTCGCTATCTGGCTCCTCACACCCTGTGGTGGGGATAGTGGGCCAGGATGTGGTGTTACCCTGCCAGCTCTCACCCGCCGCCCGGCTGCCCAGAATGGACCTGTGGTGGAGGAAGATTGGCACAGGATTTATCCCAGTTCATGAGTACTTAGATGTGGGTCCCACTGAGCAGGCAGGGGAGGGTTACCAGAACCGGACGGAGCTGTTCCGGCAGGAGTTCAGCAACGGGAACGTCTCCCTGAAGTTGAAACGGCTCCGAGTGGCAGATGGTGGGACATACCACTGCTTTGTGAGGAACCCACAGTGGAGCCAGGAAGCCACCACTGAGCTACAGATTGCAGGTGAGACATGCCACTAAGGGACACTGGGCCTGGTTAGCTGGAGCTTCTGTTCCACTGAGGATGCCCCAACACTGAGCACAGTACAGCAGTAGGGTTTGGTGCTGCGGGGAATGATGTGCAGGACTCAGTAGGGGGCGCTCTCCCCTCAAACTCAGATCTAGCCCCAATGTAGAGCTTGCAGGGTCATCAGTGTTGCATTTAACAGCCTGTTTTAAATGAGACACAAAGCTGTTGTCCGCAGCTCTCATGCTTACAGCAGTGCTGCGAGAGGGGGTTGACATTTACCCCTATAGTCCATCCAAATCCCAGCTCAGGTGATGATTATATTTGGCTTTCCTGGAACTCCCCCTTCAGCATCCAAGGGCTGGGATATTGTTTGTTATTCCCTGGGCCCTGACCCTGTGTTCGGTGCTGCACAAGGGCAGTGGAAGAAACAGTGGAATTAATGTAGACCCAGACAACGCAGTTCAGACACATCAAGTCCCTTGTGAGGGGCCCCCTGGTGATAAATCAGAGCCCTGAGGTAGTTTAAATCATCTCTCATCTTTGGTGGCTTCTAGCCCAAAGGCTCCGCAGGAGATGAGTGCTTTGAGGAAGAGATTTAGGGAGGGAGAGTAGTTGTGTGTGTGTGTGACCCACATGCCTTCTGGGGGTGGTTCCCTGTCCCCTGTAGTCTCAGAGGGTATGTCTACACTACAAAGTTAATTCGAACTAACAACCGTTAGTTTGAATTAACTTTGATAGGCGCTACACGTAAAAACCACTAGTTCGAACTTAATTCGAACTAGCGGAGCACTTAATTCGAACTAGGTAAACCTCATTCTACGAGGACTAACGCCTAGTTCGAATTAAGTAGTTCGAATTAAGGGCTGTGTAGTCACTTAATTCAAACTAGTGGGAGGCTAGCCCTCCCCAGCTTGTCCTGGTGGACACTCTGGGAACCACCAGGGAAACTCTTCTGCCCCCCTCCCAGCCCCGGAGCCCTTAAAGGGGCACGGTCTGACTACGGTGCTTGTGCCAGGTGCAAGCCTGCCAGCACCCAGCCAGCAGACCCTGCACCTGGCATGGCATGAGCCAGCCACCCGCTGCCACCCAGCCCT